TTGGCCTGTTTCAGCTGAATTTGCCAAAGCCATCGGAGTCTCAAAAGATACGAAGTTCCTGAAGTTTTTGTGTAAACAGACAGTTGGCTACAGGAGAAAAACCCTGCTTGTGCCCTCACTGAGGGAAAACTGTCACAGACCTACTGGATTTCTAAGGTGTCAGTAAATGCTTTGGAATAATGAAGATGCTTCATTCCCCCGGAGGATGTGTTGAATGACTGGCTGACAGCTTTGCAACTGCACTGGTATATGTGATGTTTCTGATTCCTGCTTTGAAATTTTTTCTTTCAGAGCTTGAACAGCGGTCCATCAACAACCCCAGAGTGTGAACACCCCAAAATTAAACCCTCCTCATCTGCCAATGCGATCTACTCCTTAGCTGCCAGGTCTGTTGTTTTCTAGCAAAAGTGCTCTTCTCTAACTTACAGAATGGTAATCATAGGGCTCTCTCCGTGCTGGTGCCAGGGACAGAATTTGACACAGCTCTGTCAGCCTTAGTTTCAATCTCTGACAGATTCAAAATACACAGTTTAGAGAAAGCAGATGAAATCGGCATCCCAAAGATCTGTGGATAGCGGTGGTATTTACCCTTGGCTGTGGCAATAGGAAACGGGCTACCGTTGCCATTAGCTCTTTTATGAATTCACTTCTGAGTTGGTCTTTATGTGAAGTAGGTGATGTATAATGTGTACGATATTGTCAGCTTCCTTTTGCATGATGACCTTGTGCCAGCATGACCTGGCAGCCGGGCTGCTGAGAATCCTGAAAGCCAGGTTATTTCTTTAGACAGAATCACTATAAGATGACTGCTGCTTGTGTCCGCTGTGGATTTTAAAGGCCACTTTGATACTAATTAGATTTGGCGTAAATGTGTTTCTGATGTTTATATCTTGTTTCTTTTGCCTCCAGACCACTGCCTGTACCAAAACTGCCTCCTGGGGAACAGTCTGAAAGCGACGAAGACACCGAATACATGTCACCGTCCTCTCTGCCTGTGGTGCCTCCAGGTCCTGCTGTACAAAAACCAGAGATCAAAACGCCTTTGGAAATGACTCAGAGCTTACGGTGAGATTCTGTTTGTGTGTACTGTGCTTCCTCCTCACAGCTCTGGGAAAGCATATTTGTTTACTAGGGTGGAGATTTTGCTTGCTTGGTTTGCTGACTTTCCCCAGTGACACTCACCAGATCTAGACTAACATAGCTAACTGTAAATGAAATGTGACTACTGCTCTTTTGCAGAATCCTTATACAGTATTAAAGGAGTCAGATAACCACTCCCACCCCTTTCTGCCGGTAACCTTTTGAGAGCAGTAGCAGCTGAAATTCAAAATTCTGTTAAAAGGTTGTGTTCTGGTGGTATCAATTAAAGTCTTTTAAGCTGATCTGCTGTATTGCAATAGACATTACTAGAACATTTTCTGGAACAAATATTCTTTCACAGAACAGTGGTGATTTCACTTTGAAGCAGGGATCTGTGCAGAATCTCACTCACAGAGACGAGGTGGTGGTGGTGGTTGACCGCTGTCACTTGTCTGAAGGGAAATACGTGTTCTCTCCCTCAGAGTTTTAGACTGCAACCAGCAGACAGATGGCTGTATGTATGAAGCAATGTACAACATTCACTCCCAAGCAGCACCCTCAGCTTTCGAGACTGTCAACGCTTCTGGTGAGTGGGTGTGCTAAAAAAACAACTGAGAAACTGAGGTACAATGAATTGGTCCCAGTCCCAGTTGGAACAGCATTTTAGGTTAAATTAAACGTTACTTGCTTTCGCTGTTAAAATAGCTAGGATGTATGTGGAAACATCTGAGTCTGTGTACTGCAGGCTGCATGTGGGGATCTTGTTGAGAAGCCTGGTTGGAATGCGCTGTGAAAATACTTGACAGTTGTTAAAAAAATTGCTGTTTTGAAGATAATTTTTTTTTTCCCTGGGCATCAGTTCTCAGCCCACATCTATCATAAGTATTTTTAATCTAATACTACCGTCTGGAAAGAGCTTCCATTGAACATGGGGTTTTGGCAGCAAAACCTTAGTTCTGTGTCCTGTCAATGTTTGTGGACTACAGGGGAACAGAGTCTGCTTTGAGAGACAGAGGCTCTGTTCAGTCCCAGAGCTCAGAATGTGCCTCTTATTCTAGATGAAGGGGACCTGGCAGCAGCCACTGCCAGCAACGGGCCTGAAGAGTCAGAAAATGAAGAAGATGGTTATGATATCCCTAAACCACCACTACCGGTTGCTATTGCTCGTCGCACACTGTCTGATATCTCCAATGCCACGCCTGCCTTCAGCCGAATGTCTTTGGAAAACGACCCTGTAACAGGTCAGAGAACACCCGTACTCTTCATGTTGTAGTGGGTACTGATGGCTTGCTATGCATGTTTGAAACTTCTGTCACCGACTCGAGGTTTTGTATGTAAGCTGTAAAATCAGGTTTACAAGGCAGAATTACACTGGTTCTTAGGTGTTCGGTTTGGTTTACAACTTGGAATGCACTGCCTTGGTCATTTAATCACTGAGCTAGCAAATCACATTTAAATCACAGTGAGGAAAACCTTTTCTCAGCTTAAAGGATGTTTCTGAAGCCACCGTTTCCTACAGGGCATGGCATACCTTTTGTACCAGGGCATGAAACAGAACTTCAGAACATAACTGCTCATCACTGTTTCAAGTAAAAGATGACACGGCCGGCCTTGCACAGCTTCTGTCCAGCTCAGTCTCGGCTGCGGTTGTTGCCAGCAGATGGCACAAGTGTACTGTTGGATGCTGTCGGCTCCTTTGAGCCGGGACCTAGTGGCTCAGCAAGGTCAGCTTTTTGTCCCTGGGGAGTAGAGGACATCTTGTCCTTCTGGCTGCAAGGCACATTCTCTGAGGGAAAAACCGAAGCCTCGTCTCTCCAAGAGCCTTTCTGAATAATGCTTGACTTATTCCCTACAACTGCCCAGCAGCTCTGAAGGAAGCTCTGAAACTCTTCCTGTTGGGGGGCTTTCAGCATGCCTGAACACCCTGGGGATTTGCCAAGGAGGAGGCGTGAGTTTCTTGCTCCTTCCAGAGGCAGATGGGAGGCAGAGCCTCCTGTACGCACGACCGCTTGCCCCAGTGAGTCTTCTGGTCACGTGCTTCACCTCTTCCCCTTCCCTGGGCTTGCCCTTCTCCAGCACACAGGGAAGTTTGCTGGTGCAGAGAAATTTATTAGCTTTTGTCACTCCTCCCTGCTCCCTGCCTCACTTTTTCAGTCTGCCACTGTGTCTGTAGAGTGTGGCTGACAGGGATAAGAAGGGGCAGAGAGAGCTCACGTCCTGCTCCCAGGTGAAGTACTGAGCTTAATCATTGACCCTTCTTTGTTTCTGCAGCCCTGGAGTAACAGTGCCGTTGTCCTGCTTTGTAGTGTTAGGGGATCTGCTCATGAAAAACGCTGTGGAAATGCTGAGTGTTACTGCTCTGGGAAGCATATGCAGTTTTCTGAAAGACTGGGTATTTGCTACAGCTAAAGCCTGGTGTTAAGCAAGCCTGACTAGTATGGGATACACTCTGGCAGATTTATGTTCTCCTGCATTGTGCCCTACAGTTTAGTTTCTTAATCATTTACCAAAAAAAGCTGAGCTAGTAGTTGCCCTTTCAAATTGACCCATGGTCTCTGAAATTTGATCCAGTTCAAGCTGAAACAGCTATTTCAAAAGACAATTTGGGGGAGAGAAGTGGGTAGTCCTTTTTCTCAAATGTACAAAAAGCTTTTTATGTGTAAGAAGCTTGTACTTTGAAGATTAGGGAGTTGAATTGCATTGTGGTTGGTGAGGAAGCTTCAATGAATTTGTTTCCTGAAGAGCCTTCTCTATCTTAGTGCTTTTGGTACAAACTTTTCAGAAGGCTTCGCGATGACTGCTTCTTTTCTGACCAGTGCTGCGGTGCCCACTCTTAAAAAGGGATTGTTTGGACATTACGGATTTGTCTGTTGTACACCAGTTCTACTGCTAGAAAACTCTAGCTGGAGTGCCTTGAGGAGTTTCTCCAGAAGACAAATAAAACTTTCTTTAAGGTGATGTCAAATATTCATGCAGAAAAGTTGCTTGTGATTTGCAAAGTAGGAAAAAATGCTTTCTGCAATGATACAGGAGGTTAGAACTCAAAAATTGTCAGATGTTGGATTAACACGTTAAGCAATGTGTTGCAGTGTTTGGTGTCTTGTTTGGTTTGTTGGCGAGACTTTTTTCTCCCCAGGAGTAGCGCGTGATGTGGCTACTGGCAAGTAACACATCTGAATGACTAAGAGGAAAGGCAGAACCAGCTAGCTTACTGGTCTGCTGTAGCAGCCAGACATGAGGTGGGGTGAGCTT